AAAATAATTATAATAAAAAAATGATATTAGAGATAGAAAAAACAAAATACTAAAAATATATATACATTATGGATGTCATTATATTTGTAAAAATGTGTAAGTATTACTAACAACATAAAAATTAAAAGACTAAATTTTATAGTTAGTTTTTAGTTAAAATTGAAAAAAAAAATACAAAGTTGCGTAAAAAAAAAAACATAGTAAATATTAACTTATTACTCTAAAATCAAGAAATTTTCCAAATTCTACCTTTATAGATGAAATTTAAAAAGAGAATTTGAGCCCTCCAAAATTCTCTATTCAAATTTCAAGAATTTTAATTAATTTTAACTTATATTTATCAAAAAAGATAAATTTATTTTATAATTTAAAAAGTCTCTGTACAATGAAATCTTTCGTCTAAACACATCCTAAAGGCACAAAGGCCATGAGCAATATATGGAAGAATACAAGAAGCTAGAAAAAGGACTAATTTGTAAAAAGATGGTTTGTTTGTAGTCTATTTTGTCAGATTTTAAACCCACTAATATCTTGAAAGAGTAAATTTTTGAATGCTTTCTCTGTCAAAATAAATACATAAATAGCTACATAATCTTGAGTTTACAACAAAAACAAGCTCAATTATTGTTCAATATTTTGCATTAATTAAGCTGAAATAATTGTTGAGGTTTTGCCACTTTATGACAAAAATCCAGCTGGTAAAGTGATTGATTTAACGTATATAATAGCTCTCCAAGGGACATATATATTAGCTGAGTAGAGAGAAAGGTTGTTCAATTTTTGGGTACTTGAAGAATAATTAATAGCTACATTTAGGTATATAAGCAGCAGTAACAAAAATCCATCCAGCAAAAGCAAGCACAAAAAAAAAAAAAGTAATCTACCAGAAAAAAAAAAGGGTAAATTGCTAAGAGCCTAAGACTGTGTTTAATTGATTCTTTTTATTTTTTTATCTCTTATTTTTATCTTTTGTTTACACTAATTTTTTATAAAAAAAAAATAACAAAAGCATAAAACAAAGCTTAGGAAAATTAATAAAAATACATTGCATGATTTAACACAATTTATTCATACAATTATATATTTAGAAAATAGCAGTTAATAAATGTCGAATTCAAGACTAACACGTATAATTTTTTCCGTATTTTCATGTTATGATTTTTTTTAAAAAAATTAACAAAAATAAAAGAGATATCTAAAGTTTAATGAAAATATCATATGGTATAATATTTTTCCATGATTGTGACCATGAAATCTGGGTCATAAACCATTTCTAGGAAAAAAAAACAAAGAAAAAAATTTGGAGAGCTTATCTGGTTTATATAATGATGATATACTTAATTATACTGGTGTGTGAAATGGAAATATGTTGCTATGTTGGGAAGGATATCAATTATTTTTGACCCACCAATTAAATTTAGTGGCAAGTCAAAAAAGGAGAGTCCTTTGCTTACAGTTAAAGAAGAGTGGGTCACAATGCTATGGGAACATGCTCCTTTAGGTATACTGCATGGATTACTAGGATCATTAAAGCTTGTGTTCTTTATTTTATTTTATTTTTTATTATTAGGTCAAAGATATTATGGAATTTTGTTTGGATTTAATTTCTTTATAGAACGATTTCAATAATATATTCTCTCACATCAGCTTTATTAGTGTAATATTATAATTAAATATGTTATGATTATATTTGGTGTATAAAAAAATGAATAAGATATGATAATAATTATCTTATATTATGTTTAATTTATATATAAAGATAGAGATAAAGATTGTAAGAAAAATTATTATCTTCTTCGCATAAGATAATTCAAAAATAAAAAAATTTATTTTTAATTCCTGAGATTGAAATTATATATTCACTTATATTCATAAAAATTATATCAATAATTTAAATTATATAAACTTTAAAGAATGATAATTTTGATAAATAAAAAAATTATTCTATTTTAATTCTTACATACATCAAATATAAGATATGATAACATTATTTAATCAAATTTTATTTATAATATCATCTTATCCTATTTTATCATAATTCTATATACCAAATATGAGTTGTAAGGAGTATGATACGATTATGTATAATTAACTTGATTGATTCTCTCCTAAAATAGTGAAAATCTCTTGTATATATACATATATATATATATATAATGGCACTCTTTTATACATTATTAATAGGTTTGCATATGTAGAATTTTAATCTTAAAAGTACTTATCACAATAATTTTTATCCTAATTGGTAAAAAAGATGCTTATTTCTTTATCAATTGGATTAATTTTTGTAGATTTATATTTCTTTCTTTTAGTATATATGATTTTAGGTTGTGAAATGAGAGATAACCCTTTTCTTTACATTTTTTTTTAATCTTAGAATTCAAACTCAAAACTTTCAAAAATATTTTAAATTCTAAAGGTTGAGGTGTTTTCTTAAGGACGTCATTGTATTTATCATGGAAGGTTATACTCATTTTCGATGTATATGCTTCTAATTTTGATTTATAAATGTGATAGCTACACTTTATATAATGAAGGTGTAATTGATTTGGAGATAATTTTCCGTTGCATATTCTCAAGGCATAAGCAAAGAATTTGATTAGAAATGATATGCAAGGAATCGACTATCTTCAAATAGAATCCTTGAATTCCAAGAAAAGAATATGAATGACAACCATGTAGAAATAGGCTTGAATATTCCCTTCAAAATCAAACCATTATTTTATTTATTTTTTCAATTCCTCTTTTATATAAACTTTGTTATTTTGGATTAATTATGAGAAAATGCAACCAATCAAGTCAAGTGGGACATGAGATAATGACATACTCTACATCTGTTTAAATAAACAGAGAAATTGATTTTTTATAAAATTAAAAATTACAATGACAGTAAGATTAGTCAGTGTAATGATAAAATCAAAATCAATAATGAAAATATATATTTAGATTAAATGCAACGATAGCAACAAAATAAAATATAATAGTTGATTGTCATAAATAAAAAATGCTTGTTATTTTAATTTCACAATAAGATAGTTGATTACCTATTTAAATATGGCAATATTACTTATATCCAATAAAAAACTCGATTTTTTATTCGAACGGAGATAGTGAGAATAAGGATAGAAATGAGTCTTACATTAGGAGAATATATGTTTTTATCGGATACGAAGATGGGGATAGGAACGAGGACGTAAAATATAGCACCCACCTCATATCGTACTTTATATATATTTAGTAAATAATTTTTTATTAAATAATATAAATTATTATTTTAGATTAATTATAATTAATATTTTTTTAAAAAATATATGTTAATATATATTTATAAAAAAATATATAAATATACAAAAAAAAAAACTATGAGTACAAAAATTATTTATATCAATTAAATACCCATAAGGATAGAAATAAATATAAATTTAAAATATCTCTTAGATATAAATACGAAAATAAATATAATATAAAAATTTGGAGATAAAATAAAAAATGCTTTGCCTATCTTATACTTTACCCATTGACATTCCTATATTTGATCAATGAACCATTGAACCGTTCGTACTACCGTTAAAAAACGGAGGAACAATGCAGTTAGGAGCCTCCAATTACAGCAGATTGCTATCCGCCTCTCCGAATGCACGCCACAATGCAGTTACGCAAAACCCCCAAGTGAGGCCTCTACCAGTGTCCGAAGAAGCCTTGATTATATCGATTGTTAGGGGGAATATTTCTTCCAAGTCTCATATATAAATGCAACAATGTCAGCTGTGGTGTTAAATCCTTAAGCTAGCCATAGCTTTGATTGTTTCTAAAGAATTCAGGTCTTAAGGAAAGACTTAGTGGAGTAAATAGTTTTTCTTTTGGTCCCCAAATGAAACATTGTATGTGCCAAACCTAATTACTCCATACGTTTGACCCGATATCTAAGAGTTCAATAAGTTTATTTTCAAGTTCTAATGAGACTACAAATAATTATAGGATAATTTGTCAAATCCACAATTTACAAAAACAAAAAATGCTTTAAAAAAAATATTATTCTTGAAATTTTAATTTATTTTCTTCACTTATTAGTCTGTTTTGGATATGTTTTCAAAATAAAAATGCTCAAACCAAATAGAAACATATTGTTTGAACAAGAATAAATGTGTTAAGGAGTTGGACTAAATCAAATCAAAGTTTCATTGATACCTCTAATTATCATGTGCTTACCTACCTCGGCTCGTTTAATTAGACTTATTTAATGTTAAAAATAATAAATTTTCTTATATTAATATTTTAATTTAAAAAAAATTAAATTAAAAAATATTTTTATTAGTAAAAAAATTATTGGGCCAAGTTGAATTTGGGCTTAAAAAATTCTGTCCAAGCTTGACCCAAAGTCGACAGACCAAACTTGAGGACCTAATGCAAAAGATGTTAAGACTTAGGATTATCAAATTGAATTAACAATGCTATTTCGTTTGTGAAAAGAAAAAAAATCAATGCAGAAGAAGGAATATTTTCCCTTCACTCTTTAATTTTTTTCCCAGGCAATTGGGAGAATAGTAGCAGTGATTGGAAGGATAGAGATCGGTGGTAGATCCCAAAATTTTTTCAAATGTTTATTTATAATATATGTATATAATTATCGATAAATTTGTTAATTTTATCGATATATAAAGCACTAAAAAAAATTTTAAAAGTGTTTGAAGGAAAATTTTTTATTTTTCCAGACAGCCTAATTCAAGGGTGAATCCGCCGTTGACAGAGATAGAGCCATAGGATTTTATATTAGAAGAGATGTCAGTCGACCATGTAGGCCGAAGGGCAGTGGCCTAACTAAATTGGACCAACTATTGTTTTTTTCTGTGGGCCATATGCTAAAATTTCCAAAATCATGAGCCGACATGTAAAATCCAAACTTTATTTTAAATTTCAACGGCTAGTAGTGGCACTCCAAATTTGACCGTTACAATCTCTCCTTCCTTATATATCAACCCAGGAAAAAGAAAAAGAAAAAAAATGAACTTTCCATTTTATTTACACATAAATTCAATCCACAATTTAATTATAAACTTTCAATTCAATATATCTCTCTTTCTTCTGCCCCACTGAAATTTAAGGCTTTGTTATAGAAATTTCTCATTAATATCTTTTTCATTTCAATGGAGCAATCTTTTAACAGTCCAATTCAATCTGAAAATGCTGGATTGGAGAAAAAACCACCACTCCAGGATCAGAAAATTGATCAGAAGGCTCAAGAATCAGGCAAAGATTTACGAAAAACATGCACCCCAGATAGGCTTAAAGTCCCCAAGGCCTCCAAGTACACTGAAAGGTGAGTAACTCTAAATATTTTGATCTTTGATTAAACTGATTCTGTTTCATGAATTTCTATATGTAATTTTGTTTTCTGATTTGTTTCAGGTATAGAAGTCCAACTGATTCTATGATGTCACCTGTTACAAAAGGTCTTCTTGCAAGAAACAGGAAAGGTGGTGGTTCATTCCTGCCACCTGGTCTAAATCAAACCAAGGTAAAATTTTCAAAGCTTATACAAGATTGAAATCTGTTTCTGAGCAATCCTTTTCTTCCTTCATACACTAGAGATCAGTTGTTGCTTTAGAATTCGATCCTAGTATCTCGTGAGACCTTCAGCAGCGGATCCAAAAATTTTTCGAGCTTATTTACTTATAATATATATAAAAAATTGTCTAATGGATTTACTAATTTTATTGACGGAGAGAATGTTTAAAAGAAAATTTAGGGGTGTCTGGGAAAAAATTTTCCTTAAAATTTTTTTGTTTTTCAATCTTTAGGGTGTCCACCCCACCTTCAAGAATGGATCTGCCATTGAAGATCTTAGTACTTAGGCAGCAATAATCATCAGCAAATTTTGGATTCAATCTGTGAAGTTTATATGATATGTCAATTTCATAGTGAAAATATCACTAGTTTTTAATTTTCAAGCTATTTACTGTGTTTTTAAATGTTTCAGATTCATGAATTGCGGGATCAAGATGTTGGTCTTTCTCAGAATTGCAGAAATGATGGATGGTGCATGGAAGCAAAAATCAGATAGATTCTTGAACCTGATGAATTTGTCCGAAATGTTGTTAATGTCAATATAAATTATAAGCAAAAAGAATGCTATGGAATGTATTTCTTAAACCTGTTTCTATTTTTTCGAATGTGAATTTTGTTCCAACAATAAAATATTTTGCTTACAGATCAATTATCATGTTCAAATGCTTCATGGGAGACTACCTCTTATTTTACCGAGGATGGAATAAGAAACTGCCAAAAATTAAAGGGTTAATGTGTAATTAACCCCTGAACTATATCACTTTTCATGATTTGATACTTATAAAAACAATTTACAATTAAATATCCGAACTTTTTTGTTAAGCATTTTGCCCCATTAATTCGGTTAAACTGATGTGACCAAAAAACAAAAAATAATATCATGACAGGTGACATTTTTATTAATCAATATTTGTTAAGTCAACATTTTTATAATACAAAATGCTTGAAGAAAATAGGTCCGGATACCTAATCGTAATTTTTTTTTTTTAAATATCAAATCGTTAAACATAATATAGTTCAATAATCAAATTACATATTAACTCAAAAACTAAACATGAACTGTTTCTTTTTGTTTAGCTTAACCTTGTCCACTGATTCTTTACGTACCTAAACATTAGAGGAGGAGAGGAAAGAGAGGGAATGACAGGGAGAAGAAGAAAGACCACCATAGATATGGTCATTGGCGACACATGCTAAAGAGGAAAATGATGATGACTAGTATACCTAGTGCCCAACCGATAACTGGTTGATTTATTGGAGTAGGTAGGGAGTCACTTTCAGACAACATTCAGACCTGGTAAATATGCATTTAATCTTTAATTAAAATGAGAGCAACACTTCTTTCTTGTATCTAATATTTCTTTCTGCTGGAAAAATAGCATTTCTTTGATGAAATATGGTAGTAAAATTATATTATGCTTCCATTCTACAGTGGCAAATCTAATATATATATATATATATATATATATAACGTTTCCATCATTCAAATGGAAGTAAGTTACATGATTGCTAAATGGTCAAGACCTATGCCTACTCTTCTCACTCTAGTCGAAACTGATACCATTGAATTGAACCAACATCTCCATCTATTTCAGGTTCACAAACAGATCTTATTAAGTAAGAAACAGCATCGTCAATGGTCACAAATCTTGCAGGTATGGTTGAAGGGTCTTCTCTGGCCAATTTTCAAGCCAGCCCTTTAACATGGCTTCCAACTCTTCATCAGAGACAAACTTCTCATCTTGTCCAGGTTCTAGTAGAACATAGGTTTCAGTCCACGAGTATGCTGTCCTTCTCCTCCTGCTGCACAAATCTGATGAAAAATAAACTAAGTACAGATACCCAAGGACCCAAAAAACAAAAAACAAGAAGCAAGGCAATGTTTCAAAAGTTTAGGATGCTTCCTCTTCATCCACCTGCAGTAACCCCCCACCCTTAAAACCCCTCTTCCCCTTGGTTCAAAAAATGTCAGTTCTCCTGAAAGATTATTCTTATAGTAAATATAAATGAAAAGCACAGTTAGCTTAACAGGCACATAATATTACACTTAAATTATAACCAGTCACAGCTTACTGGGGAATTGATGCCATTTACAACTGTAGAATAGAGCGTTGCAGAAAAGGATTTATTATTAGTCAAGTTCAAATAAGGCTAATATCTTTCCAAATCATCTCAGGTCATGTAAAATGTTTTTATCTTCACAGTTTCACTTGCATGACATTACAAGTGGGTAAGTCTCACAACTGCTTCAGCAAGCCGACACTAGAGAAAGTTTACAATAATAGCCTTACAATGAAGATGAACATTTGAAAGAAAAGTTTACCTTCACAGGATTGTGATGCTGACTCAGTGACTCCCCATTTTAAGAAGTTTCACGTGAACATGACTAAATTCTTGGATCCTCACACTGAACTTGCTTGAACGAATGGTGTAAGAGTATATCTTGATAGGAAATTACCTGCAAACGATGGAAAGTGATGATATCATCATTAGTGACATAATATAGTCCAAATTATCTTACAATAGAAGTCATAATCTTTGCCCTCTGACTATCAATTTGAATGGTGATGCTGTTCTGTAAAAAATTTAAAGTTTATTTAGACAATTCTCAAGTCAGATTTCTTCTCCTCAATCTCGTAATTAAATTCCAGGCTTAATGCAAAATAATTAATAGACAAAAAAATTTCATTGTTAATGAATCAGTCAAGCCTATTTCAGTTCCACAGACAGTAAACTTACCAGTCCCCACTGCCTATATTTTTTCATTCTCCCTTTCTTTATGTAGGGTCCAACTAAATTGCAAAAGTTGATGCTGCAATAACTGAACAACAGTTGACTCATATTGTAGTAATTTGTTGTTAGTCATGAGCTTAAACCCTAATTTACTGCTTACATCATGACACTAAAATACATGTGAATGAATCACATCACAGCTGTTCAATGAATGCCATATCATTAAATGCTACAGATCAATATTATTATTAAATGAGGGCAGGGCCATCTGGACAGCTTAGGTATTCCTGAAGCCACCAAATCGATACCTCAAAATGTGAGAATCTGATGCTATAAGTTACTACAGTCTGAGTCCTTAACCAAGGACAAAAAGTATGGCAAGAACTCAATACTGCCAGGGATACACAGGCTTCTGATAGCAGAAGATAGTAAAATGACAAATAGATCTTCAAGATGAATCCACCTGGAGCTTCATAATCAGAGCATTAGATTCTCTCTACGAGGCATCCTTCAAACTAAATTCGGGATTTCCATAAAAGTAAGCAAGTGTTAAGGATGCAATAGGTAGCTGGAGATTGGTTAGCAGCATCACCTCCAGTACGAGTTACTGGTCATCTTCATCATGAAACAAAGTACCATCTCTGAGGGGTACGTACCCAACATCCTTCATATGATCTACCAGTACGAGGATCACTTCGCATATCTTTTCTATCTGAGAATGGCTCTTGTCTTTCGCCAAAAATTCGTGTAGTACATTCCTCACCTCAATCCAACTATAAGCCGCTTCTTTCCTTAGACCTCTCTGCTTCATAAGCCTTCTCACTGCATGGGAATCGTCCCATCTTTTAGCTGCAGCATAGACATTTGATAACATTACATATCTGGCAGCATTCTTCGGTTCCAGTTCAAACAGAGCCTCTGCTGCCTTCCTAGCAAGACCTAAGTTACCATGGACACAACAAGCAGCTAAAAGCGCACCCCACATGCCAACATGATTCGGTCCATTAGGAGTTCTCTTAATCATATTCATTGCCTCCTCAAGCCTGTTTTGCCTTCCAAGCAAATCAATCAAGATTGCATAATGATCAGACCTAGGGGTCACACCAAAATCCTTTTCCATCAAATCTAAAATCCTCATTCCTTCAAAGATCAGACCTGCGTGACTACAAGCGGATAATGCCCCAAGAAATGTGACGTGATTAGGCCTTCTGTTTGCTTGTATCATCATTCTGAACATATTAAGTGATTCCTCTCCGTGCCCATTTTGAGCAAACCCAGTTATTAATGAGTTCCATGAAACAACATCCTTCTCATGTATCCTCTCAAACAGTAATTTAGCTGAGTCCATGGCTCCACACTTGCAGTACATGTCAATTAAAGCATTAAAAACAAATTGATTCAACAAATCAAGTCTGCTGCCAACTCTAACTATGCGTCCATGGATCTGTTTACCTTTTCCAATAAGTGCTAAATCTGCACAAGCACTTAAAACAGAAACAAATGTGTATGCATTAGGCTGCACTCCTTCCTCCAACATCTGCTGAAAAAGATTCAATGCTTCATTTCCACGACCGTTTTGTGCAAAGCCCGTTATTAAACCAGTCCAAGATACCGTATTCTTAACTGGCATTTTATTAAATACACAACAAGCATCCTCCAATCTAGACACTTTAGTATAAGCAACGACCATAGAAGTCCAGGAAACAACATCCCTTTCACTCATTTGATTAAAAATCCTATACGCACTATCTGCCTCCCCACATTTCCCATAAGCATCAATCAAAGCATTGTAAACAATCAAATCCAACTTTAAACCAAAAACTATAATAAAGCTATGAACCTGACACAACAATTTCAAAGCACCTAAGCAAGCACAAGCACCAACAACACTAACAACCGTATAGCCATCAATAACCAGATGATCAGATTCATTTAGCATTTTTTTGAACATATTTACTGATTCTTTGTAAAACCCATGTTGGGAAAACCCAGAAATCAATGAATTATAACTTACAAGATTTCTCCTTGGCATTTTATCAAACAAGTTACAAGCTCTATCAAAATGACCATGTTGTAAATACCCAGAAATAAGAATGTTCCAAGAATGGCTGTTTTTCACATGAAGTTCATCAAAGACCTTTTGCGCACTTTTAATTTCATTGAATTTTGAGTACATGGATATAAGATGGTTGGTTATAAAGGGTTTAAAGGTTAGAGCTTTTTTGATAAATTGTGAATGTAAAAGTAAGCCTAGCTTCAAGTTCTTGTTTTTTATGGATTTTGAGATGAGAAATGTGAAAAAGTAATCGAGACCCATATCCTCTTTCATTTTTTTTCCCCTAATTTTGGGTTTCTTCTGTCGCTGAAATCTTATATCTTATATAAATAAATAAAATCCAAAATATTTTAAAAAAGAAAATTTATTGTAGATAATTTATTATTTTGACATATGAACGATTTTGAATAATCGTCGTATATCTTGCATTATTTTGATTTGTTTCATCTAAATTTTATTTATTTAAAAAATATTTATTTTGACTAAATTAGATATATTTATTTTCTTATAAATATAAAATATTATTTTTTAAAAATATATATTACAATTCAATTATCTTAAAACACTTTTAAATAAATTCAATTCTTAATTTTAAACATTAAATATGAACATTATAAATAAAAAATATATTTTAAAAGCATTAACTATTTGATATAAGTAATTTTAGTATTTAATTAAGAAATAATTTATGTAATCATATAACTATATAAAACTCAAATATTTTACAATAAATGTAAGTTTTTTACACATAAATTCTAAGTTTATATCTCCTAATCATAAAAATATATAAAACTCAAATATTTTATAATAAATGTTAAGTCTTTTCTATATAAATTCTAAACTTATATCTCTTAATTATATTACATAAAACATAATGGACTTTTGGTTGCCTAATATATATATATATATATATATATATATTTAAAGATATAAAGAGAGAGAGAGAGAGAGAGATTCTTGACTATTGATTTTTCTTTTATTTATGTTCTTTAAAATCATTATTTATTAAAATTTATTAAAATCTTTGATTTTCTAATGTTTATGTTTTTTACTTTTAATTTTTTTATAATTTATAATTTTTCAACTCTTTTTTTTTTTTTAAGAAAACTAGATGAGATGATTATATAAATATATTTCACATCTGTATCATATTTTCAATTATTGATCATGAGGCTTTTTTTATTGTATTTGTATTTTATAATTTTTTTTATTTTTGAATCATGATATATGATTTTTTATTTGATATTTCAAGTTTTTTTAGCTGATGGATGTATTTTTAGTGTTTGCATTTTTATTAATTTTTATTTTTTTGTCATGATCGTATTTTTCTATTTTAAGTTTGCTTTTTAATCAATTAGAATTTGTCACAATTACTAAATTGATTTTTGAAAAAGATGAGAGTGATCAAATTTTGTGTTTGTTGATTGTGAGAATATTTATAATTATAAGAGTAAATAATGTGTTAAGTAAATAAATTCATTTTTGTTTTTATTTTCATTTTTTTATTTATTTTATAGTTTGTTGTATTTCATAAAGATTTTATATTCATGATACTCTTTAAAGTTGTAATGTATATCAATTAAAAAATAAAATTCATTATGGAGTTCGTATTATATAAAAAAACTTTCTATTGTGAAAAGTAAGATAATTATCAACTAATTGTAGCTAATGATATGATTTTTTTTCTTACTAATACCGTCAACAAAGATATGCTTGATGAATTGTAAATATTCCATGATTTTTTTTTGTTCATAGCTTATGATTATTTTTTATAAGTATTTAACTGAGTGCTTATACTTTTTTTTATGATAATTTTTTTATGAATTTTAAGTTTTGAATTTTAAAAAAAATTATTTTAAAATTTTTCATTATATATTATTGGTGCTATTTTGGTACATATTTGTCTCATCTATAAATTGTTAGTGATGAGTCCATAAATTGTATGATGTTATGCCTTTAAGATTTAGAGTATTCTTTTTTTTAAATATTTTCTATATTGGTAATATTATAAAAGTGACAATTTGTTTTAGAAAATAACTTTCTTATTATTATTGGAAGTAAATATTATTTTAATTATTTCTTTATTTATTTATTTTTTTGGTTTCTTATAAAATATATGTAATCTCTTTAACTTTTTAATTTTATTTACTTTTATCTTTTAAGAATTTTTTACTTTTAAAGTTAAAGGTATAATTTTTATTATCTAATTTTTTATTTATTGCTTTTTTTTAAGTTATTAATAATATGGTCTTTTTCTATGTATGAATTTGTGAAAAAGGTTAAAAATTTTTATATTATTTTTTGGTTTCTTATAAAATTCATATTTTATTATTTTATATTAATTTTTAAGTTTGTATATTTAATAATTTTTCGTATGAATTATATTAGGTAAGTAAATCTATACATTAATTTAATTGAAAATAAAAATATATAGTTTTGCTCACATATTATTTTACAAGTTCTATGTTGAAGCTATTGTTTGACTCTATGTTAGTAAGTCTTTCTTATTTCCCACAATATAGTTGCTATTTTATTTTTGGTTACTTTTTTGTGTTAATTGTTATATTTCCAATAATTTTAATAAATTTTATGTAAGCAAAATTATTAGATTTTAAGTACATTTTTGTGTTAATTGTTAGATTTTGTGTAAGAAAAGAAAATTCTACCAAAATTAAAATTTTCACATTTTCACCTTTTTTAGTAATAAATTTCATTTATTTGTAGTTATCATAAAAGATAAAATTCATTTTTATTTTAAAAATTTTATCATTATAGTTATCAAGTTATAATTAAATGTTGGTGATGTTTGAGGTGCCTTCAATTTGTCATTGGTAATTCCATTTATAAATTGTAATTATTATTTTTTGCCTTATTAAATTTATTTATTTGTTGAATTTATTAATTTGCTATTTACATTGGTTATTGAGTAGTGCTATATGTCAAATGTATTAGTTTAATATATTTTGTTAATTATTACTTTATAATTTCATTGGAAAAAAAATCGTAGCGTGCCAAACAATTTTTAAAAGAAATATAAGAAGTATGTTATGGATAATATTATATTAGAATGTATATCATAAATATAATGATTTTTAATTATATTTTGCCAAATTCCATGTAAATATAATAATGGAAAAAATCCACTTATCATAATTTTTAGTAAAGTTTTTCATTTAATCATTTATTTGATACAAAAAAAAAATTATTTTTAAAAGAATGCAAAGTTCTTTCAATTTCATATTGCAAACTTTTATAATGCTAAAACAAAAAATTTTCATTTTCATAATAATTTATGATTTGAGTTATTTATATTTTAAAAAATTAAAGTAAATAATCAATACCGATTTAAATAAAAATATTAAAAACTTAAGCTTAAATAATAGGTGTTATTTATGCAAATAACTTATGATTTTTAATAATGATTTTATTGTTATTTTAATTAAAAAGAAAAAGAAAAAAAGAAAAAGTGTTGAGCACAAGTAATTTCAAATTGGTAGTAAATGACCTAATAGCTAAAATACTAAAAAAGTCCATTAACAATTCCACTTTTCTTAGATAAGTCCATGTACTTTAATTGTATCCAAATAAACTTTTATACTTTAATTTATATAAAAAAAAGTCCTTATTTTAAATGAAAGAATAATTTATGTTAAGGGCTTATTTACATAAAAATTAAACGTTTGAGGGATTATTTGAATACAAATTAAAGGTTAAGAGTTTATTTGGATGCAAATTAAAAATTAAGAGTTTATTTGAATGCAACAAGAGTGTAAGTGTTTATTTAAGTAAAGTTATAAAGTTTAAGGCTTTTTTATTACAAAGTAAAGATAAATACTTTAACCTTTTTATATGTTTAATATAGTCAGTTATTAGAAAATATATATTTTGTGAAAGTAGAAGAAATAATAATAAATAATTTATGATTATTTAATATTTAATCATCATTTTATAAAGTTTCACTAAACTTTTATTTTTTCATGTAATAACATTAAAATATTAATAAAAATAAATAAATATTGGAATTGAAAGGATATTTTAATAAATATTTGTAAAAGTTTTCATTATGGACTCTTCCATTACCCATTTATATTATATCTACATGACTTTTTTATGACAATTAGGTGAATATAAATAATGAGTTTTTTTTTTCACTTTTACGATTTTTAATTCAAGTACAATTGATTTACCAAAATCTTTTTTTTAAAATTTTTTTACCTTGTGAAATAAAGTAATAAAACTCATTTTTTTTCCAATAAATGCCATGTTAAATTATGTAGTGTTTGGTTAAATAAAATTTCAAATAAAACCTAAATCTCTTAACTTGATTACAAAAAAATTCAACTATTTAAGTTATTATTTGTTAGACTTTTGGTTGCATTTATAATCTTTTCAACTGATTTTGTTAATATTTTTGTAAACTTTTTATTTTCTTCATGACTTTTGGTTTTTCTTTTTTTCTTTTTTTTTTTACTATAACCTTCCATTTATCATTAGTTAGACTATTTTAAACTTGTAATTGTTTTTCCTTTTTGAAACTATTTGTTTGTTAGAAATATGAATTTGTTATTTACATTTGTTATTGATGGTTCCAGTTGTGATGTCAAAGATAGATGTAATTTGGTTTTTTACCACTTTTATATAGTAGATGTTTTAGTTTTATATAAAAATTAAATATTAATTTAATTTATATATACTTTACTTATTACTTAATCATATTATAAAAACATGTCGCATGTAACTTACCAAGCCATTTATATTAAAATAATATATATTGTATAAAATAATAATTTTTTAATTGTATTTGTCAATTTTCATATAGATTTGAAAATGAACAAAAGAATTCACTTATTATAATATTTAATAAAAATTTTCATTTATTCACTTATTTGACATAAAACAAATTGATTTATTTTAAAGAAGATGCAAAAACTTTTTAATTTCATGTTGAAAACTTTTTATAATAATAAAAAAATTCATTACCTTAATAATTTTATGGTTAACATTATTTATATTTTAAAAAATAAAGTATATAATTGATATTGATTCAAATAAATATATTAAAAAAGAAAACTTAAAATATTGATAGTATTCATGCAAATAAATCATAACTTTTTATAGTTTATTTTTTTCATCCTTTTAATTAAAAATGTTAAACATTGAGTAGTTTCGATTTGATAATAAATAATCTAACACTAAAAAATATTATTTCTTTTTATATGCTTTAAAAACTCTACAAAATAAGTTATATTTAAACAAGCTATAATAATTAAAACACATTTTCCTTTTATTATGTTTATGTAGTGCACTATTAAAAATAAATATTTTATAG